CTCACCAGCTCCATTGCCCTTCTCTGGACACGCTCTAGCACCCCAGTGTCCTTCTTGCAGAGCGGGGCCCAGAATTGGACACAGTACTCGAGGTGTGGCCTCACCAAAGCCAAGTACAGGGGGACAATCACCTCCCTCCTCCTGCTGGCCACACCATGGCTGACACAGGCCAGGATGCTTTTCATACAGTGGAATATGAGTAGGCTACACAGAACTCTAATTCTAATAAGAATATTAACAGCAGAGTTGTCATTGCAGATGACAATTTAAATAGAACATATTTCTTAGGACAGAAAATTAGAAGTTGTATTATAAAAAGAACACTTCAACTAGCAAGTTCTTATTCTCCCTTTCTAATTATCTTCCTGATCCTTGTTTCTCTTCCACCAGACTGCTCTGGTATTGAATCTTTCCCATGCTCCCTGTAGTTGGGTTTGGAAAACCACCAATGTAATCAGTCAACAGACCGCTATCGACCAATCCTTCCAAATATGAGTTGCAGCAAGGCAGTCTGATGTATTTTACAGCATGTTTAATGCTGAATTTCTTTTCTAGTCACCAGTCTTAATTTTTGCAGTAAGTTTAAGACACATACAGAGAGTGCATGCCGTCCACAAAGCCCCGTAAAATAAGCAAATTATTCATATTACAATCTGTGAAGCATCAAAGATTTTAAGTACTATGCTGTTTTGAGGACCAAATAAGCACTCAAATATCGCAGTAATACAAGTTGTGTTAGTGCTGAGAATAGAAAGGTTAAGACTGTAATTGTTTTATGTCACCTAACTCTGAAACACGAACTCAAAAAGCCCTGTAACCTACACAGAGTTCTGCTTCGTTTAATCCATCAACTTTTGCCCTTAAATCTAAAACACGTATGTCATAGGCTCTCTTTTCTTTAAGGGTTTCTTTTCGTTATCAGTTGTGATCGAGTCCTCCCTCCTTTCCACACCATACTCCCATTTACACCTTTAAAAGTATTTTTATCAGCTCCTAACACAAAGCGAAGTAAGACCTATCCAATCAAAGTCAAATAGACAGCAGAATGACCACAAAGGCCTTTGAGAAACTCATGCAACAGTTCCTCTCTCGGCAAACTTTGCACTCATGACAGAACTTTATGTCATTAATCAGAAACATTCAAACTAGCAGAATTAAAAGGAAAAAATAAAAATTTTTGAAGAAAGCATTCTCACATGACTGCTGCTTTGGGGAAGAAAAGCAGCCACCACCTTCACGTAACTGATTTTCTTGGCTACACCCAGCTTGATGCCCCCCGTAACAGCCCGGCTGCTCAGGCCACCCATCGAGGCACTTGCTTTTTTGATTAGTCCACCCCAGAGCACCCCAAGCCGAGCTCTGCAATGGGTACTGTGGCTTTTCCCAGCACTTGTGACAGCAGTATTGCTGGCAAAAATGCGAGTACTATTTAACACAAGGTGTGGGGGGATATTATATTTCCCTTAGTATTGTGTAGGATCCTGCTGTAAGTAATATTTAGTAGTCAAGACATAATTACATAGACTGTTTATCAAAATTCTTAATGAACAGATTCTAAAGAAAAACCCAAGTAGAAAAAAAGCATCCTATGGAGCTTATCCTAGACAGAGGCAATACTTTGTAAGTACTATCTTTAAAAAGCCTTTTTTGGTTTTGTTTTGGGGTTTTTTTAAACATTTTTTAGCCTTGCAGGCTCTGCAAATTCCACGTGCACGTACATTTCTTTCATCTACCTCCCAGCCTCATTCTCACCTTAACTCTTATCTCTTGAAGCCTTTTCACTGTAAAAGCGACATTTGAAACAGCATCTTAACTCAGATTCATGAAACTCCTCCCTCCCTTTATCCCTAGCACACCTGAAAGCATCTCTTCCTGAAGTATTTCAGAGAAGACTGCATTTGCCTGCGCTGAAAAATCGTGCTGGTTTTTTTTGATGAACGTCCTAAACAGGAGGAACCTCCTAAAAGGATTCTTACCCATTTAAGCTTTGAAAGTCACGCATACAAAGGCCTATGCAACAACAGGTACATCCCAAATACCATTACAGACTAGGTACACTAAAATGGAAAAAAGATACAGCCACCGAAGACATTCAGTAGCCTCAGGAAATTAATGTCAGTAGGTAAGCTGATGCAATTTGGGATACAAAAGTCATTTCTGTACCACATATGAAGAGATAAAATAAAAGCTCAGATCATCAAAATAAATTTTTAAAAAAAGAAGTATAAAAGTAACTCCATTATCACACGCTACCTAGTACCTGACTTTTTGTCAGCACCTTGCTATTTCCCACAAGGGAGCTAAAGTGAAGCCAGTAACTACGACCTATACACAGGAAAACCACTGTTTAATGGCAGTGCAGTGGCTAAGGTGACAAACATCCCCAGCAACAGGCTCAATGCGACCATTTCTGGTAAACACCTTTTGCTAGAAGGACAGAAGAATCAGAATACAGGGAAGAGGGAAAGACTTGAGAGGTATTTAAGGGAAGAATGGTCAAGGCTGAGGAACAAATAGGAAACCTGAAATCACTACAAGAAAGCTTTCCACATATAGCAGGGTACAAGTGGATGTGGAAACAGGTATAATTCCTGGTTGTAACAAGGCACTAATACTATTTTAAGACAAAGTGATGATGCTATAAATGAAAGAGAGTCCAAGGAGTCCAACATCCAATGAGTTTCAGTAAACAAGGACAACTAGTCAGCACGGACAACAGACGATTAACAGGAATAGCCTCAAAGACAAAGAAAAATCCACATGTACTGTCATGAAACAGGCAACTGAAAAGTTAAAAAGCTGTTAGCTGCGTAATTAACGGATTACACAAACGAACTTCACTGCAAGAAGACAGTCTGCTAGGGGAAAATTTGATCATCCTGAGGTTGTTATGGATAAAGCTATGATCAGATACAGCAAGTCAACGGGTTACTTCACAACTGCAAAATGCTAAAATAAGTGCAGTCACTTTGGTTACAACTAATTGTTTGCGATTTCTTAAAAACAGCTTATTTATGACTTCGTGAATATATCTGTTTTCAATAGAAGATTTTATATTAAAAAAAAAAAATACATGAACCACTGACAACGAACAATATCTCAAGCTGAGCACCTGGATCTACCAGAAGAAAAATATACTGGTATTTGAAGAATCTTATATGACCATCAAGTAATGGTTACACTCTGTAATACGTAACAGCAATAAGTTGCGGTCACACATTTCATTTCCTGCCTTCTGAATGCTTACAGTATTGAAAATTTAACATACTCTTCAAAACAAAATATAACTGTGAAAATCAGTAGTATAAAATACTATTTGTTTTGACACAATGCACAATGTAAATCTAAACCAACCGTATATAAAGGGACATATTTCCAGATGCTTATTGAAAAGAAAGACTTCCACTCAATTTGCTTTAAAACAATACCTGAGGGCTGGGGGCTTTTTTCCCCCCGCTTTGAGACAAAATACCAACAAAAAACCATCAACTTACTAATTAAATCTCTAATAAGCTATTTCTTAAAGTCTCTCATTAATGACTGAAATAGCAAAGCAACCTCCTCCCACAAATAAAACAAAGTCCACGTTTGCTCCCACCCCCTTTGGCGCTATTTTGTGGTGCACATCCCTGTACGTCACCAAATGAAGTGGAAGTTCCTTGATTCACGCTATGACGGAACTCAAGAGCCTCATGTCCCATCATGTGCTCTCTCACAAAGGATGTCCCCAAGGGACAAGAGGAATGGGACTGGAACAAGTTAGACAACCTCAGACCTTGAGCCCTCCAACATCTCCCATCACATCCTTCTCATCCACCTACGGCTCCCTGTGCCAGCCACAAGGCATCACCCTTCCCGTCTTCCCTGCCCGTAGATCATCCCGAGCTCCTTGCTCTCCCAGACCCAATTCCTTCTCAGATCCTTCTCTTCCCAGCTTCTGCTTCCCCTACCCACACCTTGCCCACCCTAGTCTCTCATCAAAAACAAGTCTGACTTCACCTTCTCCAGCATTTTGTCACTCCTGCCTCTTTTCTCATTTCTTTGCTCAGTAATCCCAAATTTTACCTGTTTCTTGTTCAATTCGTATCCCTCTCCCCCACTGCCCCCACCCCATGTTCCCGGCGCAGCCAGACACATCTTCTTTCCAATTTCTCCCAATTCTTGTCATGTCAGGCTCCTGTTCCTACATGCTTTCTTCAGATGTGGTGCTTAGGGACACGGTTTAGTGGTGGACTTGGCAGTGCTGGGTTTACAGTCGGACTCAGTCTTTTCCAACCCAAATGATTCTACGTAGCTTCAACCATTGCCAAGCAGCCCAGAAGCACAACTGGGAGCACAGCCCCGTCCCACAGGAGCTGGAAGAAGCACCTACACGAGCTTCAGCTTGTCCCTGTGTTTCTCAGCTGAACTGTGATCCCCGGGCAGAGGAGGACACAAACAGCCCAGCTGGCTCTGGGAGCAGCAAAATGAGAATATTCAGTCACCGTGGACATCAGGCCACCCCCAACTACATATCTGCTGTGCAGATGGAAACAGACTGCTCCCCTTCCCCTGGAGATTTATAATTTGGTCAAATTTAGTCAGATTATCAGCAGCAGAGCCCTAGCGCAAAGGTCACCTGCCAAATTTCACATTCCTAATGCAAAACGTGAAGTTACCAGAGCTTATTAAAGAACACGTTGACAATTGTAACCATGGACAAGACATGTTCATGCCCCCATCTCACTCCAGAAATGACCAATGGTTCTCACTGAAACTTTAAAAATACCAACCCTGGAAAATGATGTTCACTGAGACAACCACGCCTTGGAATATCCACCACTTTTAATATAAAATTAAAAAAGAAAACCCAAACAAACAACAAAAACAAACAGACAAAAAAAAAACCCCACCCACAACCAAAAGAAACACCAAAACCAAAATTAAAAAAGAAAATCAAAGTTAAAAAGTTACATACCAGTCCCTGTCACCTCTACTCTCCTCTTCCTGATAATGAAGAAAGCAACCATAGCAGGTAGGCAATGAGACGCCTATTTAAAAAACAACAGCAACCACCACCATCCTCCACATGGTTTTGGGTTTGAGAAGCATGAAACAGGAAAGTATCTTTAATTTCAAAATCATCTACCTGAAATCAGCGCCACAATTTGAACCACCCCATTGGCTTGCAGATAATATTAAAAAGGGAAAAAAAAAGAAAAACAAAAAGCTCAGACCTGGGGTGGTCTTGCAAGAATAACTTAAAAAAATAATAATTTAAAAGGTTTTGATTAGTTACTTTTTTTTAAGAGCAGGCTCCTGGACACCTACAACTCAGGCACAAGAACTGCAGATGCAAAGAACAGGAATTCAGTTCCATATATACTGAGCACTGAGAATCTCAGCTTCCCCTAACTTTGCTTGCGAGATATTTCTTAACACAATAAACTCAGTTAAATTGTGATTTATAGTCTAACACCATTTACTCCAGCAGGAAGCACTACAGCAGTACTATAGGTTACTGCCACATGAAGTATTACCTGAAGTCCATCTGACATCTGATGTCATTTTATTTACATTTTCATAAACCAAGAAGAAAAATCACCAATACTTGTCCCCTTTAGGGAATTCTTGCATTTAGTCATTTACTCCATTGTTATTATTATTATTAGTGAAAGAAATTGAGCTCTATGTGGTTACGGAGACCTAACTGCATTAAGCCAGTTGTAGGAACAGGACCTATGGTTTTGATCATATTTTCCAGGCAGTTAAGACCAAATTCATTTTAAACAAAAAAGTGCTTCAGCAGTCAAAAAGAGTTTCTGTGGTTTCCTGAGCTCTATACCAGTTGGTATAATCACAAGATTTATAAAACTGCGCTTACTAAAATTAATCTTAAAAATCAATAAATAAATGTGGGTTAAATACCACAAAGAAAAATAGCCCATAAATGGACTGTACAGTCATGCTGCTTATAAGAACAGCAGACAGGATACACAGCAACAGAGAGAAAAACAGGCTGATCTAAAACACATCGAATCTTTTTTTCTTCATACTTTACCCAAGTGACGGCGGGGGGGGGGGAAGAATCCTGTTGTAATTGCTAAAATTTGATAAATATTTGCAGTGAGTGACAGCTTCATTCCATATGTGTAACTGACACTAGATGTTCACATTTTACAGAAATACCTACACAGCTTTCCTGACTCCCTTCATTTTGCTGCACTATAATCCCCTCTCAGCCTTTAGGAGACAAGGAGTTATTATTTAAGAAAGTATGGGACTGATTTCTTACCTTATACTGTAGTTTTTGAATAGTAATTTCATCATTCATACCTGGAGACATCCATTTAAATAATTCAAAAAGATAGGTGAGGGGAAGTGATTTATTGGCACGATTTTGAATCCTTTATCCACAAAGTGGGGTGCTAACTATACTTATTCCCCATCACGGGATCTGTAGGAACCCACTACCCATATATCCATTCCCCAACAGTTCACATTTGTATTTTGGTATCTACATCCCTCTGTAAAGTTCAGGAATGGCATAGACCACGTAGCTCAAGGTGACTTAAGTTTTTTTAAAGTAAAACATAATGTGTTTTTTTCTATAAATAAAGAATCCTTTCTAGAAGGAATACTTAAGAGTTGGTATCACAGTCATCAACTCACTTGTCTGTATCACAGTTCATTTAGGTGACTTCCGCGGTGCACAGCTTAAGATTCGAACAAGGGGAGACCTCCTCTTTCTCCTTCACTGCATCCAATCCATCCATGAACACCAAGATTAAGAGCATGGAGCAACAAAAAGCCTTCAAATGCAGTAAGAAAAGCACTGCAAGGGTGGAAAAGCATTCTGCTTTGCCTCCAAGTTTGCTCTCTCCCTCAGCATGAAACGTGCTCCATCCATCAAAGAATGGAGAAAAAAGTAAGAGAAAGAATAGCAAGAAATATAAGAGCACAGGAGGAAGAATAAGGTTTATTCCACGTCTGCACTGTCATAGCACTCCATCGGCTTTTGATGGCAAAAGTTTCCATTTTCACAGGTTTTTTTCTGCAGTAGGGCTTGACAAGGAGAAATTCACACGGACAGGCCTGCAGGCTCAGGCACTTCACAGCCACCTCTCGCTATCCAGCTAAGAAGCAAAACCAGGAAAACTCTGCCCACATAACGCTACTAATGAATGGACGCTTCACACCAGACACTATGGGGTGGGAAAACACAACGACAAAGTAAAAGAAAGAAGCCATTAGTGAAAATCTGAAGTAAAATCAAAGATCAAATTGAGAAGAAAATGAAAGAAGTAAAGGTGGGACTGAAAAAAATCACTGCAAGGTAAAAGGAACACGGTGGGGTTTGGTTTTGTTTTTATTAAAATAGAAGTATTAAATTAATATGCACATTGCACAGAAAAAGCTACAACTACATTGGCAGGGTTAGCTGCAAAGGCAAGAAGAAAACTTGATTTACGTTTTCATTCCACAGCTGGATCCTCATTAACAATTCTAGGGAAATCTTCCGCTTTTACTTATCCAGTCAGGAATTTACGGAAAGACCATGTGTAAAGCCTTTAAAATGAATGATGAATGATGGGGGAAGAGACTGAGGTAGCAGTGAAACCGTGTCTGCTGTACTCTAACCCTCAACAAGCTCAATTAATTAATTTATTTAGGTTAAACGACTTAGTGATATGGAACCCAAAAATACACACCACACATGTACATGTACGGTGCATATGTATAGGCTCAAGACACACAAAGGTGAGGCAGAAGAAAGCTTCAGGAAAATGTTGTTTCAGCTATCTGCTATAGACGCTCCTCCTAAAGCTGATTCCTAAAAGGTACTCCCAGGAAACTGCATATAAACATCACCTCTTCCTGCTTTCTACATACAGAGCTATAGGAAATAATCTGAAATTTCAGAGAGTAAATACTGTAAGTCTCTACAGCTTGGCACCAAGAAAAAAAATGCCAGTTCCCTCCAAAACAGCCCGGAAATATACCTGGAAAAAGAGCTCTGTTTAGATACCTTGAAACGTGGTATCTAAAAAGCTTTTTGCATTTTATTTCACATAACCACAAAAGACAGTTTCAGCGTCCCCGTCAAAAAATTAAATAAAATCAGTGCAGACGTCCTCTGCATTATCATAGCTTTAGAAACTAGAACATAATTGTCCAAGGTATGCTCCAGCACAGATGGTCAAGGCCCATCAAAGCTAGTCAAAATTTGGATCATATTATATGGGCCACATAAAATAGATATTAATCTAGCAGAAAGCCCGAAAAAGAAATGCCAAGTACGGAAGTTAACATTCAGTCTGGAAAATAAAACTCCAACTGAAAGCTCCGCTCAGCTGCATCAAACTGGTTAAGCAAAGTTTTTCAAGAGAAACAAAAAAGGTTTTCTGTTTTTCTCCCTCTTCTAGCCCCTCCACTTCCGTGGCAAACACTCAGCACTTTTGACGCAGCTTGCCTGGCTATTACTATGTTAATTTGCAACAAGTAACACCAAAAAAGAGAGAAAAAGACAGGTATATGCATCATCTCCTCTATAAGAGGGAGAACGTTCGTTCACTTCACTTGGGAAAGTTTTGAAATTGCTCTTCTAACTTCAGATTACCAGTCCTTACAAAAGAAATACGTATATGCCATCAAATTTGGATGAACACTTACAGTCTCTGCTGAGGAAACAGATACATCTTTATAAAAATAAAGATTTATATGATTTTTAGAGCTGAAGAATTATTTACCAAAACAACAACTCACCACTTCATGAATGGATCGGTTGAAGCCATCATCCTCTGTAAGGATCAGCAGAATAATAAGAGCCATGTAAACATGGTGTGAATTCCTTTCTTCAACGTGATACAGAATTTCAAGAATTGGCAGCACCTTTAAGGAAGGAAAAACCTGTGTGTTAGTTTAGTCTTCAAACACCTCAGAGAATAAACAGAGGAGACTCTAAACCTCCTGTGTATCACCCTGCCCTTAACAGTATCATAGCAATTCCTCCCTCTTGAAATAACCACCCCTAAACAGTGACGCACAGTGTTCAAACACCTTCCATCTGTTTTATTCTGTCTCCACAAGAGAGTCTAAACAAATTCTTTCTTGTGGTCAGACATGGAATTTCAATTCCTTATAAATGAGATTTCCAGCCATACCAGTTACCATAGGCTCTGAAAGACTTAGTTCCCTTCTAGACCATGGGAAAATAAAATTGTTAAATAAGATTTTCACATGTTCAAGCAGGAAAACAATTGTTTCTAACGATCTGTACTACCATAAGCCTGGTCTGAAAGGACTTTCCTCATCAAATATAGCCAGGCATATTGGATCTGAGATGTACAGAGGCATTTTGAGACCTGAATGTCCAATCCCATTTTGGTGTGTGGAGATAATCCCAGAAAAGAACCAGTTTGCGTTGGGTTAAGACTAGAAAAGGCCTGTTTTTCCAATTCTAGATAATACGTAGCCAAAAAGAACTGACATTATGATGAGAGTTCAGCCCAAGGTCTTGCAACATTTCCACCAGGATGAACATCTTAAGCCAAAGTCTTGCAATAAATAATGAAAATGAGATTTCATTGCAACAGCAAGCATACCTGAACGCAAGTCTAAAGTTAATCCAGATGCAAACATTGTCCCTCTACCAAATGAAAATTAGCTTTCCACTGGCTCAGTACAACGTGGCTTCCCCGAGCTGCAGAAATAGGCCTAAATCACAAAATACCCTGGAAAAAGGAACTGGAGAAAACTCTCAATTCCAAGATAGTGGATGAGATGCAGAATTCGTTCCAAGAAGCTTCTAGACACCTAAAGACTTGCTGTTTTTCAAAACAGGCCGAGTGGAGCAGGATGAATCATATGAAACCTATTCTGCTGGGCAGCCAGGACACCAAGAGCTTCACAAGCCTCTGAAGTTACCAGAATGTTCTCTTAAAATCAACCAGCCCCAAAACAGTTGGAACACATTAAGACTTACAACAGTTTCTATTTAAACCAATGAGATTGATCAAAATGCCGCAGGCCACAAAACCTTTTGACAGATGCTTTGGCCAGGGTCAAAACAATACCACAACAAAAGCAGAGGGGAAAAATTGTTCATTTATTGCAAACATCCTTCCTTTACCATTTCAAAGGATCGTTGACAAAACTCTCTCTCCAGTTGAAACTGAAGTCGACGTCTTTGTGATTCTTCCCCCCTGTGCTGGGCACTGGTGAGGCCGCCCCTCGAATGGTGGGGGCAGTTTTGGGCCCCTCACTGCCAGAAGGACATGGAGGTGCTGGAGTGTGTCCAGAGAAGGGCAACGGAGCTGGTGAAGGGTCTGGAGAACAGGTCTGTGAGGAGCGGCTGAGGGAGCTGGGGGTGTTCAGCCTGGAGAAGCGGAGGCTGAGGGGAGACCTGATCGCTCTCTGCAGCTGCCTGAAAGGAGGCTGTGGTGAGGTGGGGTCGGTCTGTTCTCCCAGGGAACAAGCGATAGGACAAGAGGGAATGGCCTCAAGTTGTGCCAGGTTTAGAGTGGATATTAGGAAAAATTTCTTCATAGAAAGGGTTGTCAAGCACTGGCACAGGCTGTCCAGGGAAGTGGTGTTCAAACACCTCTTAGACATGGTGCTCAGGGACACGGTTTAACGGTGGACTTGGCAGAGCTGGGTTAACGGTTGGACTCGATGATCTTAAAGGTCTTTTCCAACCTAAATGATTCTATGAGTCTATGAATATAGGCCTTGAGTGTAAACACCAGGTTTTCCCTAAAGTATCTACTTAGCATATAGAAAAAAAAACATTAGCTCTTTTCCTTGGATGGGGGAAAAGGGAGACAAACATCACTACATTAGCCCACTGTTCAAATTATTTCCATCTCCAATATTTACACTGCATGTAGCATCGCATAAGCTCAAAGTCATTTCCAAGTCCGAACATTACGATAATCTGCATAAAGCAGGAAGCAACATAAAACTACTGAAGAACTGCATTTACAACATGACTTTGCAGGGAGAACAAAGGCCTTTCTGAAGGTAATCAGTGGAATAATGTCTTAGTTTTTAAGATAGCTCCCAAATAGCCATGTCTGCTAATTTTTACAGCCACTCAAAACTGAATATACTGCCTCATAATGTACATGCCTTGCACTCCTTCAATGCAAGTGTGATCCCATCTGGTTAGCGCTAAATGATACCATACAAAGCACACTGGCAAAATAGCCTTTCAGGACAGCCCAACGTATCTCTTCTGCCTATGCACATGAATATTTGGTCAAACTGTGGCTAAAAAAGCACATTCGTGTTCCTTAAGTGCTCCAAGTCCTGAAAGTGTCTTGCTATAAACTACATTTAAAAAGGGTACCTTGATTCTGACACTGAGACGTTACAGAGATTTCCATATGAGCTGACAGGTGAAAATATACTTACTAAGATTTCATACCAGCTACTGAAATCACTCTCACTCTGAAGAGATCTGGCTCTCCAGGTCACTGCATTCAGTCTTAGTGCCCCAAACACACCTTGAAAGCTTTTGAAACCTCTTCTTCCCACCTCCACTCCCCTGGCAATGCTCTCCTTTCCACTCCTCTTTCCGACTTCTCTCCATCCACCTACCAGACCAAACTCAAGGAGGCAAACTTCATTCTCTCTACCTGCCATTTCCAGATGAAAGCTGAATCAATTCATACAGTTTCTATAACCCTTCCTCCTCCAAATGCTTTTTCCTTTGTATACTGATTGCTGAGGGACACACACCTTTAGGACAAATATTACTGTTGTCAAAACAAAAACTATTTGACAAGCCACCTCTTAAATAGAGTTAGGATATAAGATTAGATTAAAATTTTAATTATATTAAAATTTATCTGGAATTGTTATCGAAATGCATTTCCACACATTTGCGTTACACACATACAATAAAACTTTCATATTTACGTTTTTATGCCATGGCATTGTCCAGGCACATGCTGAGAAGACAACAACCACTTCTTTCTGTATTGCTGGCCCTTTTATTCACAGTTATTAAAGTATCATTACCGGACAACTACTAACTCTTGTCCATCAGGATCAGCTTTTAACAGGAAAGACACAGCCACCATTAAAAAGTTACTTTTAATCCCCAAAACAAGGGGCAGGTAAAAAAAGACACTGAAAATTGCAGGTGCTATATTCAGTCCAAGGTCAGGAACAGTTTCCCCAGCAAAGAGTTTTAAAATAGCTTGTCTTTAGTATACAACAAAATACAAGACCACATAGCCACTTGAGTAACCTGCTTAAGCCAAATTTAGACCACAGGAAAAAATATTGCTGTACCATCAGTTGATATAAATATATCACCATATACATTATTTCAGCCCAGTCATGTTGAGCAGCATCAAAATGTCAACTCAGCAGCCAAAGCAAACATATTCCACAGAAATAGCTTATTTCTTATAAGCAGGTATCTCACTGGCATTTTTACCTGCAATATGGGTGTTAACTGCTCTTTCAAACAGAGAAAAGCTCAATATTCTCCCACGCACAGACCACAACACTATGCCTATGAAAATATTTGCTAATTGCCCCCTATTTCAGCAGTCCCACCACTTCCTGGAGAATCTTTGTGAGTACTTTCAATAAGATGGCCAAATTCCAGATGTGAACATCCCTAATGGCATCAGAGATTTAATCTAATTATTTTATTAAATTATACAAAGTTATATGCTATAAGTTATGGAAGACACACAAACATCCTATTCATTCTACCGAGCAGACTTACTATATGAGCAGAGAGGATGCACTGCCTTACTAATGATAAAGCATTACAAAACATAGCAGAAGATGAAGGTATTTATCTATAAATGACAGAGGCAGATCCATACACAAATTAGGAAGCAAGCTGAGATATTATATATTAAAAAAGTTAAGAAAAACACACTGAATCTATTTACAAATTAAACTGAAATTACAAAAGAGCAAAGACACATTTCAAAAACCCCTAGGAAGTGCCACAGAACATCTGCTAGTGATGCTTCCTGGGCACTAAAACTGAGAAGAACTAAAACAGGGGAAAACACAACAAATGTGATGCCCTGAGTCCAGTGAAATAGCAATAACCTGCAAACACCCTAAAAGTTTAAAACGAGCACTCAGATGACTGCTGACGTTATCTCTTGTACGGCACAGACCCTTACACTTCACCCAACTACCTCTGCATGAAGAGGCCACTGACTTATGCCACAGTCCTTCAGAAAGTCAAAGAACACAGACTGGTTTGGGTGGGAAGGGACCTCAAAGACCACCTGGTCCAACCCCCTGCCCTGGGCAGGGACACCTCCCACCAGACCAGGTCACTCCCAGCCCCATCCAGCCTGGCCTTGAGCCCTGCCAGGGAGGGGGCAGCCACAGCTGCTCTGGGCAGCCTGTGCCAGTGTCTCACCGCCCTCACAGGGAAGAACTTCATCCACCCTCATTCAAAGACATCCATACAGAGCACTGTCTTGCCTCCGAATTAATTACCTTTACTGTTTTGCTCCCGTATCTCTAAGTTGTGGGATTCAACCTCCGGGCTTTAGTCTTTACGACACCTCTCTTCAAGCGGAGAGTCCTTTCTGTTCAAGGCTTTCCCCTTGTGAAGGCACGTACGCATCCTGATGCTTCTCAAGCTCTTTTCTAACCAGCTGAGCTAAGCCAGCCTTCTAAGCCCCTCTCATAGTTTTATTGTTAATTTTAAAGAAAAAAAACAAAACAAAACAAAACAAAAAAAAAAAAACCAAAAGAGTTTCTCTACACTGTCTCCATTTTTCAATAGCCTGTAAATATTTTATGCAGTATGGTAGTACACCACCACAATAGCATGCAGCATGTTAGCACCGCTCTTGCCGTTGCCATATAGGGAAGGAAATAACCCGCTCCACTACTCCTGCCCCTTCGCCTCACTTACAGTCCCAAGACTGAATTAGCCTTTTTCACCACAGGGTTGTAATTGGGATATCATGACTTCTTTGTCCAGTAACCCTCCCACCCCCAATCCTTTCTATGTCTGGCTCAGCCTGCATTATTAAGCAATTAAAACTGGTCTTCTCAGTTGGCCGCTGCTCATCCTTACCTACGAGCCCGCTAAAAACAAGAAGACTGGACAAAGATGTCATTACTGCGCCAGCAGCAATCATAAAAAGCAACAGTATGCCTGAAGAGCAAAATAATAGCAGTTTCAAATGTTGGTCTTAAAAAAAAAAAAATTTAAAAAAAATCAAATATGATGTTTACTTTTCAGTGATGCTTTTCTAAATTTTCTCAGCTTTTCCCAGAAAGTGTTTCATGTTTCTGATTATTTCTGTGATTCTGCTGGGATTTTCTGGGTTTGGGTTTTTTGCTTGTTTGGGTTTTGGTTGGGTTTGGTTTTTTTGGGGGGGGGGGGGGGGGTTTTTTTTTGGGGGGGGGGGGTGTCTTTTTTTTGAGGGAGAGGAAAGATCGGTGATAATATGTGAAAATATCCCACACTGCAGAGAATCCGAGTACCTGCATCTGGCATCTGCATTTGTTTTCACACACGCACCTCATGCTTTTTCTGGAAGTTTTACATTATATCAGACATCATAATTACAAAACAATGCACGCACCTAAGCTTTATTTCTCTAAAGATAAAGTAAATTGATGTTAACAGCTGTGAAACACGTCATATCACATACTAACAGGCCAGAAAATTAAATATGACCATTTGTTCACAGATTTCATGCAAAATGACTCAGCCCTCACCTAGATAATCTGCAGCAGACTACACAAGAGTTCAATCTTGAATCAATTCAGTATCAACCATCTCACCCGAGTTTGCCAACAGTGGTGTCTATCAACTCTGATTTTAGTAATACATCTGCTAGAACTTGGACTGAGACCAAATTCATTCCATATCTGCCATCAAAAAGGCAAGGGATCTAATTATCTGGCAAGACTTCAAATATTAAAATGGAAAGGGTTCTCTATTTCGTTACCAATTCCCCTAGACAGCCATTATCTTATTAAAGGAAGGCTTTTTAATAAGTAAGATTTGTTAAAGTGGCTTGTGACATTATTACATGTAATGGAGAGCATAAGCTAATTTATAACCTCCAAAAACTGTACCAGGTGTCTATTATATTGGCCATTAACCACAATCCTATTTAAAGCAGCTAAAAAGTCACTACAGTTGCACTTCTATAAAGTCTGTCAGCTGCCCCTTCAGGAGTTTCAGCCTCAGGTCAACCTTGTAAGACATTCGGCATATTAGCCAACCTACAGCTCATTCTGTTAACTATTATCCCTGTACATACACAGTAAGCTCGTGTAACATTTTAGCCTGAATAGCTAAAAAAGTAAAACAAAACAATGAATAGTATGACATCTGCTACCAGTTTCTTTACACCATGTCCAGAGGTCAGCAGGTTTGACCTGGATCAGTGGCTCTGAGAAAGAGAGAATCAAAGACAGCCTGGTAGCTTTATCAGTACTATCTTCTACTGCGGCAACATGCTGAGCATCTTACTCCTGAGGTGACACAATAAAAATGAATACGTGAGCCAGAACCGGTGAATAAGTGAACCAGAACCTACTGCCCCCACTGCAGAATGGGGGACACTGACAGCTGGTGACACTCAAGCTTCCAGGACCAACCCTCATGATGAGAATAAGGCAAGCAGAGCGATACTTACAAGATTTTCGATGTCCGTTCGTGCCAACACATATGTCCGTACGTTGCCATTTTGATGAAGAAGCATGTATAAAAGAAGAGTTGCTTGATCAGATTTCTGCTGCTCACACAAAGCTGTGTACAAACTGTTAAAATTGATCTGGAATGCATGTGGATTTGATGATGAAAAAGCAGTGCTGTCTGAAACACAGAAATCAAAAGAACAATCTTTAACAAATACATTTACCATCCAGCTATTTGTTAACGTTATAAAAATCTTTCGGTGAAGTATTTTATACGGACACCAGAGTAAGGAGGAAACAAAAATCATCAATGACTCTCATCATCAACGGCCACAGACCTTAATAGGGTCTCATGAAGCTTCAGTTGTGCCAAAAAGCTGAAGCTGTCCTCCCCCATGCGCTCCAGTAAAGCCCCTGTATCTGCACAAGACACTCATCTCTTTTCATAAAGCTATTCTGTTGGTCGAAATGGCTTCCACTGTTAGAAAATAAGGCAATCCAGGAGCTGCTGCAAGGAGGGCAGCTACAGTGTCTCCTCTGGTACTGATAATTCATGTGTTTCCAAACCCTGCACCCCAAACTTCCAGGCTGAGTTCACTGGCATCAAGGTGGAGTTGTCTCCTACCCATTTCTTGGCACGAAGGGCAGACGTGAATAGGTCGAGGCTATCAATGTACTTTCAGTGAAACACAGGTGTTGTCCAGACACCTGTGTGTGTGGAGGGGCGTTTAGTGGGTTAATTAAAGTGATTTAAAACACCACGTCACATAGTCTAACATCCCTCAGCGTAACAGCAATTTGTTCGTGTTCACAATACAATTTGTGCCAGAGCTGGAAGTCAGAATAAAACAGATTTCTGTTCACAGAAACTTTTCACAAGAAGCTTTACCAGTTTCCACAGAAACGTCCATCAGCACAGATCTCCAACATCTAGGAATTTCCAGTGGAAATGGAAAAAGCAAGTGTGACAGTCAATGCACTCATACTCATGTTAGCGAGCCAGATTCACATCCTTCTTCAGCCTCCTGATCTCCCCATGTCAGAGACTTTGCCTTTGTTTTCCTCACAAATCAACGCCTTTGGGAGCATGAGGTTTTGTTCCAGTGCAGAGCAGGTACATTCCTCAACTCTCAAAAAGCTTCACAGAAATTTGTACTAAGTATTTTCCTGTCCAGCTCTGTTCAAAAATTCCCAACCAAAACACACATCTTCTGTGATGACACAGAAGTAGGATGAGTCTGCCTTTTTGGGCTGATTTATTCCAGCATCCTGGCAACTGAATACAAAGGCTATCTTTTCTGAGCGTACAAACAAGCCATGCATACGGAAAAATTACAGCAATTTCATGGCAAGACGATATTCTGGGAAAAACTGCAGTCTAGATACTCAAGTATACTGAAAGTCTGGACTTAAAAATTTCCATATTACTATAAACAAGTTGTCCAGTGTTGATGAATTTAACTGAAATTCCTTAGTTCCCACAATAACACACTACAGATTTCTAAATTGTTTATCATTTATTAAAAATGCATTAACTTAGGAAAGCTCTGCTGTATAAAACAGCATGACAATACTACTACTCCTCCTGCATAGGGATTTGTGGATAGAACAGATTTTAAGGAGAGGAAGAAAAGACTCCGAAGAATAAAGGAAAAAAACAATGCAAATGTCAAAACCTGCATTTTTACAAGGCATTTTACAGCCAACTGTATTATGACAGCCAGCATAATAGGCAGCAACCATTGCATTTCATCCCAAACTTCCTTCTTCTGCTCAAATCCTGAAAGATTTCTCAGATATTACAGAATGCATCACCATGGAAAATGGTGAGAACAGTGTCACCACGAATGTGCCCATGGGCAGCAACCTTGAGCCAACACAAATTTGGCTCTCAGACGAATACTCCCATGGTTTCTTACCAAACTTTTCCACTCCTATGGAGAAATCTCTATACTGGTAGGGACTGATCACACAAACACTCCTGCACCCACTGAGATGTAGGTGTCTTGCTTTCCCCTTTCTTCTTAGCCTGTATTCTTAGCAAAGTTTTTAAATAGCTTTCAGCACGGAAGAACATGGTAGTTGTCACTTATTTTGAACAACATCTCCACCCTCTTTGGAAGGAAAAAGTGCTTGGAAGACCTGCAGGAGCCCCACAGGAGCCCTGGCTCCCACCAGGTTTCTGGGGGCCCGGCGGAGACGGCGTGCCGGGGAGCTTCTGCTTCTCTTGGCCTGGGCAAGGGGCGACGGCTCCAGCCCCTCAGCCGAGCTCAGCAGGAGGCACTGCAGCAGAGGCTTCTCCTTTCTGCAGGAGGTGGCAGGCGCTGCTGCAGACGCAGAAGCGAGACGCAGCCCGTCGGCGATGGAAACCCTGCCTCCCCACAAAACAACGCACTAACGGGCAGAGGGGGGAGACCAAAACATCCGCTTTTCGGAACTACCACTTCTGCCCCCACGGCCCCTTCAATCCCTCATCAGGATTACGGATCGAGTGGTTTAAACCCTTCGTGCTTCAGGCAAGTATTTCTCTTTACTAGGGAAAATTTGGATGCAGATAGCAAAACCAGATCAATTCAACGCACTCTATCAAGCAGCAGCTTGATGCCATGGTTCATCAGCTGAGAGTGTCCATCGACTTTCAAGTTCCCTTCTGCGGATGTTTAAACCGTGCCACTTACATTTACAGCACTTCACTACCTGTTTGATTAAAGGATATTTATAAAACTGTAAAAAACATCTCAACAGTATTGAAGAAACATCAGCAACAGCAGCACATCCTCTATTAGTCTACAGAACGTTAAACTCATGGACAGAAAAATCAAACTATTCTAGACCATGTAGAATAAAGAAAACTAGCCTGAATGTTATTAAGTTTGTCCCAAATAAATTATATAGATTATGTCAACAAAAAAAAAGCCCAGTTTGATTTTATAGTCACATACTGTAGATCATTATGACAGTAACCAGCCTTTCTTTTTTTGTATCGTCCCTCTCTTACCAGCCCCTCAGAATGCTCACAGGAATCAAATGTAAGATCAGTTACACGAGTATTGCTAGTGGAAGCAAGTTTATGAGAAACAGTAAGTCATTCTATAAATGTACACATCTAGAGAAAATACGGCTTTTCATGCTACTTTTGACATAGAATAAGTTCTTTTAACATTTTATAATGATACTTGTATAACACTTTTCAATGAAACAGTTACCAATGACATGAAACAAAGTCAACTGAAATAGAACATTCACAGAAGATCCCAGTTTCAAAGACAGAACAAAACAAAATCTGCATCAAGAATTTGCTCTCAATTGCCTGTGAACAGTACCCAATAAACCAAAGGGGCACATTAGAACTAAGATTTCTTCTTATGAGAACAATCCTCCATCCTCATAACGTCCAAAAATTTCCTAGGCAAAGGTGAATGAATTTAGAGCTCAACCTGCTAAAAACTTCAATGTTTAAAGGAATATAAGAACTCCTCCCAAATAAAGTGAATAGCTCAGAGGTACTGATGTGGCTTCGCAGGTTATCACGCAGCACCCACGCTGTGCCGAGCAGCTCTGTGCGTGCTGCCAGCCTGCATAAAGCCAACAAAAGGTAAAACCTCATGGCTGAAACTTGAAGAGATTTAAGCAGATGGATAAAGTAGGCCTGAAGAAATCAGGAATAAACTCTTTCCTGGGTAGTGAGGCCCTGGCACAGGCTGCCCAGAGAGGCTGGGGCTGGCCCCCCCCCGGCCGGGGGCCCAGGCCCCGCGGGGCTGGGAGTGACCTGCTCTGGTGGGAGGTGTCCCTGCCCATGACAGGGGGGTTGGAACAGATGGTCTTTGAGGTCCCTTCCAGCCCAAACCAGCCTGTGGTTCTATGAAAAGCAGCACACTGCTGCAAGCTGACTGACCCAGACAGCCCAAGCTGTGTTAGGGAACTCCTGCACCCCACGTAAGACCCTCTGCAGCAGGGCACTGAGCCAGTACAGCGCTGCGACTGCAGTGACCTGACACACGGACTGCAACCAGCCTTCTCAAAAACCAGACAAGCACTGAAACAACTCCAAAATCTCCTGTATATACAATTCTCACGAAAATGTTTACATTAACCAGTTTCTCCTCACGTTTGCAATACAAGGCTACAGCTAGCAAATCAATCCAGTTAGCAATTCAGCCACTCATCTTAGCTCTCCAGCCAAAGAGAATTTCCCCAAGTTCTATAAAGTTTTAGGGGACTACTGCAGACTCTTGGATAACCAACCTAATTCTACATCGGTTTTATTTATATTTTATGAAATTATTAAGCTTTCTAAAATTTCTCCAGTATGAAGGAAGAATATCCTTCTGCCTCTGCCCCATCCATTAAGTTCCAGCAGCTGAGGGACTCTACTTCAAAACTCCCAGAAGAAAATGTACTATATTACTGCTCTTCCAAGGGCTGGCTGGAGGGAAAACAAGTCTTGGAAAGAACGCTCTAAGCAGTTACGGCAACTTAACACTTCATTTTCAACAGTTCATGATTAGAAGTAAGAACAGATACAAACCTTGTGTGTTCTTGAAGGACATAATCGCTTGCCTGTAGGGATTCGGCATATCTGGAGCATCAGTCAGATTAGCCAAGACCAGCAGCAGCAGCAGACTCTGGTTAGCTAGCGGGGAGCACTGCTCCAGCTGCGACGCTGGTTTACTCCCCACCCCACCCAGCGTGAAGACCGTCCACAGGCCAGCTAGAGAGAAAAGGAAAAAAAATACTATGTTTGTTCACTTTTTCACAAACAAAGGTCCTTTAGAGGAAAACATAGCATCTGACACACAGGTATAGAGAAGAGGAAAAAACAATTCACCCCTGTACAATGAGATGACAGGTCCGGCAACTTGATTTCTCAAAATGAAAATTTCAGTAGTAACACAGCAGTAGGCACCGAGAGGGGGGAACTGAAAGATTACTGGAAATTCAGGAAAATTAAGTCACAGGAATATATGAAAAGGAAATTAGGAGAGGTGAACAAAAGCACGTTTGAAGGGGAGGACCTTAAACACAAAGGAGGTACCAGCTGAAGGATACACAGAGCAATCCCGATAACACTAACACACTGAGAGGAAAAGGAGCTTGTATGTTGCCTTTTTAATAAAACTGACATGGTCCATCATGCAGCATTTTTCTCATCTATTCTATTTTTAATAAACTCAGCATATTTTAGGCAAAACACAGTAATAAAAAACTAATACTGCTTAAACTAGAACCTCCAGACTGAGAGTCCCATAGCTATTATGATCATTGCTTATTAGTGTGGGTAGAAAACATAATATCAAATAACAAACTTCTTGGGGAAAAAAAGACAGGATCAACAGCAATCTAAATTTAAATTTTACAGTATTGTTAAATGCAGCCTCCTATTTTTGCATTCCTAGAGAAGATGGAACAACTTGAAAAAGCACTCCAGTTGGAAATACTTACACTGCTCTAAATTCCTTTTTAAGAGATTTCATATAAGATGTGAAGGTAGGGAAGCACAAAACCGTTTACAATAATTTGAAGTTAAAAATCTAGTTAAGAAGAAATCAAAGTTTGAAGTGACAAATCAGTACCGATACTGTCAAAAAAACCCAGACCGACTGATTCCTCCTGAGTAATCGAGGTTTTGTTGTCTCACAACTGCCTCGAAAACAAACATGTAACAAAGCACCAGAACTTCATTCATTTTAGACCCGCAAAAATTTATTAGGTACAAAAATGTAAATCATTCCACACCAACTCTCAGTTCTTTGCTCATGAACTACAGCAAGAATGCATGTTAGCATAGCCTCTCCTTTATCGAGGTGTATGTATATGGTGCATATACAGCTCCAGTATTAAGGCATAAAGTATAAAGCCAGTATAAAGCACCTGAAGGCTGATCATTAAAACTCTCATTATCATACCGTTTAAACTTTGATGTTTGACCCTGAAATGCAGAGTCATTTTCATACCTAATCCTCACAGCATTAAAAAAAAAATAACTCCAATACTAAACTGCTGCATTTGAAATTCTGTTCCTAATTACAGCAGGGCTGTGAATCAAGCTGACCAGCTACATGCCCGAATACAGATTAAAAGAAGCTGGAAGGGAGAAGGAGCAGCAGGGGAGGATTAGAGGACTCCCCTCACCCTCTCCAGCAAGTCCATAAGTCCTCATCTCCTTGCCATCGCTCGTGAGACTGTATTAGACTGGGGGGGGCGGGGAGAGCACCAAAACTGAAGCAGAGATGCTACAGACTCAGCATTACTGGGGAAAAAGTCACAGGAAAGGACAGAACTTCCTTCCCACGTAGCTATGGCGGCACACGACAATTTCAGCATCGATGGGCCTCTACCTTTATCACAACTGGGCTCCCTGTGCATTCCCAGGTGATAAGAAGCAGACCCTCCCAATCAGACTGGGTTATATTCATCCCCAAATGGCTGCTCAGCAGTTCATTTTTTTAAGCGTATCTTGAAATTTTATGTCAGACACAGTATTTCATCAAATTACTAATTTAATAGGTCAAAGTTTTGAATTATACAGCACAAAAATAAGAAATAACCTCAACTTCTAAAAAACCCCAGAATTTTTACTTAATTTTTTATTAATGCCTAAATTAAAACTCAATTATAATACACTTTCCTAGAAAAGACAGAAAAATAAATAAAGTTTAGTTTTCAACTTCCTAGTCTGCGAGATTCAAGGTGCAAGGGTAAAAACCTGTAAGCCATTTGAATGCAAAACGTAAGTATAGGATAAGCAATTAAAAGAACTTTAAGTACTCTTAGCCCTAAAAATTTTCAAGCCAGCCAAAGACTATTTTTCTTCAAATGTTATTATATAGTCAGATTTTGTAACAAACCAACTCCCACTTCATCAACACAATCGCAAGGCAATTACTGCCATGTCAATGGAACTAATGCCATTCAGTGTTAAGCAGCTTGAAGGAGTTCTTATAATAAAAAGCACTACAATTACAGCCTTCCTAGCAAAAATTTCACCTTACATTAATAATCCTTTATCACCGTAGTTTTGATCCACTGTCCTTAAATCAGAACAAAGCTGAATAAAAATGCTGACCACAAAGTTAGCTTTTAAACTCACATGAGTTACCCATACAGGTAACACACAAAGAAAACTGTTTTTAAAAAAACCTGAAATAACTATATATTTATCGTCATGTGTTAAACGAATTAAAATTCGGCACACTTCTCTTCTTTAAGTTTAGTGTGGTTCTCATTTCTAATTTTCCACCACCCCACCCTTCTGTGGCTGGCATCTGCCATTACTACACGTTTCCTCAACGGTTAGGAACAGAGGGATATGGCCAAAACACTGGCGAGTAAGTTGAATCTTCCACCAGGGAGAATGAGGTAATTATGTCCAAGAGCAATCCGCACATTGATATACGACCAAGTAACCTCCTGAAGTTCTGCCTCTTGTTGGCAAACGTATTATTCCAGAAAAGCAATCCCATGTTAATGGGTTCATAATATTCCTTTCAGTTCCAAAATGCCATGGTACCTGAGGTGCCAAGTACTGGTTGGTGCTCCTAACACACTCAAGTTAAGAGACATCTCTAAGGAAAATATTGTTTCTCATCATTAACAGCAGTTTAAATCGATAAACAGAGGACAGAGAGGCCTCTAGTTGTATTCTATGTTCACAATATTTGAAATATCGCTTTGCTACGCCTGGTTTTACATTTATGTACATTTCAAAATTTTTAAGCTATATTTAAGACTTTTAGCAAGCAAAACAAAAATAATTCACATTTCAAAATTTTTAAGCTATATTTAAGACTTCTAGCAAGCAAAACAAAAATAATTCTTGCTGCAATGCCTTAGAAGCTCTCCTCACTACATTCTTTTCAGATCTAGAAGTTACAGTTAACAGAAAATATACAAAGAACGTACACTGATACAGAAAAAGTGGCTAGAATCACATTTCAGATTCTGCTTCTTTGGAACACCAGGGAAAAACAAAACAAAACAAAACATAAAATAAAACAAAACACAAAATAAAATAAAACATAAAATAAAATAAAACAAAATTAAACAAAACAGAATAAAAAGTAGGAAATCCCACGTTTAAAATTCCTGTTTAAGCCAACAGCATAGCCATAGGTAGCTGTAACTGCACTAGTGCTGCCTGGCATCATTAAAAGCATGGAATGAAATTTGCCTAGACATTTTAACGTATAGTGCTTGGACTTCTTTCACATTTAAATCTCACTTTAAATTTCATTTACTCCTATTCTCTTGTTATTTTAGTATGTATCTCAAGGGAAATGCAAATTACAGAAGTTTTCTTAAAGCTTTCTGTATCTCCAGGCAACAGCAAAGATGAGCTGCAAAAACCACTGGAACGGTGAGAAGGATGAAGGGGGTGGACTACCTGCACGAGCATCATGACACAAAGTGCTTCTGAACCTGTTGAAAAGGCTCTACATTACCAAATACTGCCTTTCTGGTGCTAATTATAAACCTGATGAAGTTAATAATCCATGACCCTAAAACAGTCTCTTCAACATTTACATATTTGGATCACTTATTTCATCTACACAATTTACTGTTTTCTGCAAAATAATTATGATCTATTTTTAATTACAATTCTTTAATATAACTTCATTTCTTGACTCAGTTCCACATGGAACCACATTACTAGAATTTTTCTCAATTAGAGAAGTACTAAAATCTTGCCAATTATTTCTGCCAAATACACAGATACTTCGAGAAGGGAAGGAACAGACTGCTTTTAACTTTAAAACAAAATGAGCAGATCCATTTTTTCCTTCTCTTCCAGAAAACTACCCATAGTAACTTCTTTTTTCCCTGTTCACACAATTCTATGAAAGGCACAGCAAGAAAAGCAGGCTTTGCTTAAGAGTAAGGTCCTGTTTTTTGCAATAGAGAATCTGAGGTCTTCTGCAAGATGGCCAGAAACACTGCTCATAGCCACAAAAACAAAGCCAGGATTTTAATCTAGTCTGACAGTCTGTAGAACAACACTTAATGGCAAAATGAAGTTATGACACATTCATCAAAAAGGAACTTTCCTTCACCAGACTGTTATTTAAGGTAAACACAAATCTGCAGAAATCTCAGCTGAATGGCCTGTTACACAAGATACAAACAAGGTTCATGTTTGTACCTACTTGGAGAAAAGTTTAAATGCACTTATTTATAGTTTCATGTGATGAAGCATAATTTTAACAGCTTGATTTTAAAGACATTTTAAAACCAAAAGACAGGTAGGAGTGCAGAGGGTACTTTAAAAATTCACTCATTATAAAGCACTGACATTTATAGCCAGCTTCTAGCGCTGCATACCCTTATTTCAAGCTAGTGTATCAACAAACTGTGAGCTATAATTGATTTGTGAGCTTTCCTGGGGTATTTATTAAACTAGCTGTCATTCTTGCACAAAACACATTCACTTTCCAACCTCCCGTGTAAAGGCCTGGAAGATAAACCCTCTGAGCTCTCCCCCTGGAAGGAGCATTAGATTAACACAGAGGAAATTGGTGTCACCTATTTCAAAGTATCTTCCCGGGAAATGGAGAATTCTTTTTTATTTTTTTATTTAATAGCAGTCAGTTGCAAAATGCAATCACACTAATAATTGAACTTCACCAAGTCTTCCTTTGAACGGCCTATCCTTCATTAAGTTTAAACACAGGCACTAAATTTCACTTGATGCTGGCACACCTTTTTGAGTGGGCT